TCCTGTTCAACACTTACTATCATTAATAACAATAATTACAACTGATATTAGGAGCATTGCAGTTAATTACATTACATTATTATTATTGCTGTCACTGCTGCTGCTGCTATCACTATCATTAATATCACTATCACTGCATGTTCTGGTTCTTTTCCACGGTGGAGGCAGATGTGGTGCTTGCCTTTGTATATAATAATATTATGATCTTATAATATTATAAAGAGAAGGTCTAGACCTGCTCAGTTTGAGAAGTGCCTTGAGATAACTTCTGCTGTGAATCTTCTGCCTCATCTTTATCTAACGTAGCTCTGCTTCCAAGTAAAGAGTACTTATACTTATACTTATACTTATACTTATACTTATACTTATGCAATATTTGTCTTTAAGTGTGGTGGAGTAAAATAAAATAATACTTCAGTAAAGTACAGATACTTAAAAAATATGCTTAAGTACTGTACTGTAAATGTACTTTGTTACTGTCCACCACTATTAATGTATTAATTATGTCAAAGTCTGTTTTATTTTGCCAACAATCCCTGAGGTTTAATCAGCCGAGTCAATAAAGCTGATTTTAATTTGACGGAGAGCCAGAGTGAGGGATTATTGCCAAGGTGTGTCTCTCTATCTCTCTCTTTCTCATTTACTTTATCGCTGTATGAAAGAACAAAGGTGAAGCCTCAAGTGTTACAAAACATTTATTTGAAGCCATAAAAAACAGACATTAAAGGCAGCGATCAGAGGGAGACACATTAGCTTCTGAAGTAAATGTTATGGTGTGTGGCAGTGGTTTATGTGTCTGCCCCATTGACTTTATATCACGTCAGACTATTTAATTTGTTTTTATTTTACACTAAAGAAGGAAAAGGGCGATTCTACAACTTAAATAAGAGTAGTTATAGTGATACCAACGTGTAAAAACACTTCTGCATTCACAATCTTACTGTTATAACGCAGGGAAAATGGCTCCTGTGAGTGTTTTATTACATAGATCATGGGCTATTGATACACGTGGATTTATGTATAAAATGCATCACATTTTATAAGATGCCATATTTTTTATAAGCAAAATATGCATCAGAAAAGAAATCAGATTCATGTAGTTAAGTACAAATGAGAGTATTTTAATGTAAAGAGGAGGGATCAAAAGGTTTCACTGAGTTGTGTGTTTTATATGTTTCATATTATGTATGATCATGATAATTTAATATCATCCATTAGTCGATAAAAAGGATTAAAAACGCAATAAATAAGGTGTTAAAAAAAGGTCAATATTGATTAAAGGTTTGTTGAAAATATACAAGTTTAAAATCATTTCTGGTTGGAAAATAAATTCCCTTCATTTGAGGCTTTGTTTTATTTTGGAGCGTGTTGTTTTCCGTATATAATGTTGTTAATGTGTTTTAATATGGACGATGTGATACGATTTCTGTATCTTTATCTGATTTCGAACACGTGTTCGGGGCCTGATTATTGATGGACACCAGCTCACCATGTTCGAGCTGATTATACAGACACTTAAGAGACTTTGAAACGACGGAGAAACATGTGTTTTGAACTTTTATGTTTTTTATTTCTTGTAGTTTTCACATCTACTTAACATCTGTATGAAGCGTGAACCGTTATCTGTTGCACCAGTGTAGCTACACACAGCATAAGGAGTATTATTATTGTCTGTTAAAGGGATTTAATATTGAACTTCTATAATATTAGGGGACTTATTATAATATTTTAGTCAAAATTAAACACTTAAAGGTATTTACTTGTATGTTAGATGTTTAGCAACAAACTAGTGTCTTCTTTCACATTTAATGGTGAGATTCTGGTGCGAGCCCACCGTTCCCCTCGTCTGTTTCCTGACAGGCTGAGTCAAGGCGACCGGCCGTTATCCCTTTAAAACATCAGCTCATCCCGCTTTGAACAAACTGGCTTAGTTTTTACATGCCCTTTCATTGCTGGGATTTCCCTCCGCCGGCTCTTCTGATTTATACTGTAAATCCAAGAGGATTAGCACTAAACGCGTGTTGAGCACATTTTCATTTTGTAACAATACCGACTTGTTGCTGCTTGATTTTCTATAAATTGTAACGCTGACACGTCAAAGCCGTTTTAAAAAAAAAAAAAAAAAAGAAAAAAAAAGTGTGAACTGTTTATTTGTGAGGTGTGAAAGCACGGACAGCAGACGGCATTACATCACTTGTGACACAGAGCTCGCCGTGATGCGTCCCCTGCACCCTGCACTACGTCACGTTTCATTTAAGTGTCCTGTACTCGTAATGTACACAACTCATGGGAGTGGTAAGTGACCAATTAAGTCTGACCCACTTCCTTTCTCATCTGTATCAGCCTCCATTATCACTAAAGGAAGAGACGTGTCGTGTAAACAACTCAAACTATTCCTTTCATGACCGCGTCACAGCTCTGACAGGACCCTGACAGCGAACTCTGCTTTACCCGCACACTGATGCTCCAACCTGAAACCCTCTCTGGGGCTAAAGTCAGATCCGTCTGGGGGGCAGAAGGGGCAGTATAAATAGCCCCGTGTCCCCTCTCAGGTTACCTCGCCACAGTCCAGGTTGAAATACCAAAAGACAGAGGGACACACTGACAGACAAAACACACACACACACACACACACACACACACCACAGAGTCATGCAGGACTCTGGACGCTGTGTGCAGACAGCGTTTAGAGAGGAATGATATTAGTCAGTGTGGTGTGTTCTCTTTGTGCTATTAGCATAACGCTGCAGTGTGTGATTACACAGAAAGGGAGGTTCACTTCCTGTGAGTAATGATGAGTCGTGTCTCATCATACACACTGTCTCCCTCTGAGGCTCTGATGCGAACCTCGAAGAATTTCTATGACTAAACTGAAACAGTTTAAGTTTTATCAGCAGGATCATAAACTGACAGTTTCAATTACAAGAGACTCGTAATATGTTTGTCTCACATGCAAAACATTTTTTCTGATGTGGATAAATGAGGACAGCAGTTCTCAAAGCGGCGTCAGGAGAGTTATTATCACTATAACTGCATCCATAAGTAACACAATGACATAATGGATGATTATTTTGATCATGGGTCTCACACACTTTCTGTAATTAAACATTTAAAAGTAACGATCTTATCAGACGGGGGTCCAGAGTCGAATTTGTGTCAGTTTCGAGGAATTGACGTGAAAAAGTTGGAGAACCACTAAATTAGGAAATCCTGCACAGTTCGGGAAATAAAGCATCGTTTATTAGAGGAGAATTTTATGGCTTAATTGTGATGGTCTAATTACAGTTTTGAATCAAGAGTCTTGGTCCATTTTTTTTCCAACTATCACTCAGTTATTATAACATTTTACAGTAAATGGCTTCACACTCACAGCGTTTTTCTACAACATACACAGAGGACACACTGGGGTTCAGTATGTTCACTTCGACATGCAGACTGGAGGAGCCGGGGATCGAACCATCGACCGTCTGATTAGTGGACGACCTGCTCTACCTCCTGAGCCACAGCTGCCCCTCTGTTACTGTGTTAAATGTGGAGATACTGGGACATGAAGTCCATCTGAGTTGAAAACAAAGGCGATTTGACACTAACTACACTGGCTCTGGTTTGAACCGCTGCACTTAATTAATCTGATTAAACTGGGGATTTGTTGAAAGCTGTCTGATCACCTGATTACTTGAATTACTTAATGGACTCCGTTGTAAAGGTACAGTCATAATAACCAGAGGTGGAAGAAGCACTGACATGTTTCAAGTATCAGTAGAACGATGTAAAAATAGTCAATTATAAGTAAAATTGTGTTTTATTTTCAGCAAAAAAAACCCTCAAAGTGTCAAAAGTAAAAGTACTGATAATTTGGAAGGGCCTCATCAATACATTAGAGATATTATTATTAATGTGCTGCATCAATATAGCACATTTTTAGTCTTAACGAGCGCTCAAAGCTCTTTACACTACGAGTCACATTCACACACCGATGATACGTCAGGGTTCAGTATTTCGCCCGAGGACACACAACACCACCGTTTTTATGCTCACCAGTGTATAAAGCTCGACTCTGGTGGGACTCGAACCCACAACCTTTGAATCACTTCCTGTGTGTTTGTCTAGAAGTCCAACGCGCTGTCCATTGCGCCACAGAGCCACATGTTCACTGACAGGCAGGTAGCGTCCTAATCTCGTCGAGGAACGAGCGGATTTCTATGTAAACTGATGTTTTTAAATCTTGATCTACGAAGCACAACACTTCCCTCTGACCTGAAGTGGAGTGAAAGTTTTAAGTAACATGAAACAGAAATATTTCCACCAGCGATAATAATGATAAAGAATGAGAATTTCCTGCAGCTTCTGAAAGTGTCTCACGTTTGTCCTTCAGCTCAGACATGAACCATCCAGCACGTCTGAAAACAACCAATGTTGAGTTCACATCCTTAATCATAGATCAATATATGTGTATATAACAGCTTTCTACTTTGTGGGTTTTGTGTTATTGGTAGACACATGAGTCTGTGTTGGTGTCCAGTTAACCTTTGCTTTCCCTGCCCACATGTGAACAATCCTTTACCTCTATAACAACAACAACAACAACAACAACCACAGGGGATCATTTTAGCAAAATTCTCCGCAGCGTCCGATCTAAGATCCGGCCATGCAGCGGACTGAAAGTCAGTTCATCTCTCCCTCTGGTTTCTTCGATATCTGCGTGCCTGAGCTCAGCGAAGCTCATTCTGTTAACTCATTAACACGGGAACCTGGGGCTGTTCTTCAAATCGATCTCGACCCCGCCGGATCTTATATGCTGCGTTTTCATCGACCATGCAGGAAGCTAATGGATTGATCTGCAGGTTAACTGTCAGTGTGCGGTCACTGGTTTCCTGTAACGTTTGTTCTACGGTGGAGAAAATGGAAATCCACAAGAAGCAGAAGCTGAGGCGCACATCGGCGCTACCAAAAACCCAGAGCATCCAAACCAGCAGAGTGAATTATGGGAAATGCGCTACCTTGCGACAGGCGGACCGGCTGCGTGACCTGGAGCCCATCGATGGCGCACAGATTCCCGCAGGGGTGCAGCGTGATGACCCCCGACCTGTTCTCGATGTAGCAGTGCTGGGCAGCCACCCCGGGGCCCTGGATGCTGATGTCCATGGAACCATGACCCAGAGTGGTCCGGCCTGGGGAGGGAGACGGAGTTAGACTCAAACCTGATGCGCTGCAGTGAGCGATAATATTCAAACACAGGAGTGTTCACACACCTTCCACTTTCTGCAAAATGTATTAAAATCAAAAACTCTCATTTACTGAAATATTCGGACTTAATTCAGGACTTTGTAAAAGCTCCTTTGGCAGCAGTTACAGCTCTGAGTCTTGGCTGAGTCTCTCCCAGCTTTGCACACCTGGATCTGGGCAGGTGATCCCATTCTTCCTGACTGATCCTCTCAGACTCCGTCATGTTTGATGAGAAGCATCTGTGAGCCGCCACCTTCAGGTCTCTCCACAGATGTTCTCTGAGCTTTAGCTGGAATCACTCCAAACTTTAGAAAGTGTTTTATTCCCTTTGCCCTGATGTGCGCCTCACCACACAGGTCTACAGACTTCCTGGTTTGGTTTCTGTCCTGACATGCAGAGTGAACTGTGAGGCTTTTATACACACAGGTGTGTTTCCGATCAACTTCCAGACACATCTAATTAAAGCAAACAGGAAGCACCTGAACTTTTGTAAATGAGAGATTTGAGTTTTGTGTATTTAATATTAAACCTACAACACAATCAACTCTATTGAATAACGTTTGCAAAAAGTGAAGGGCTCCAAATACTTCCTGCTGCCACTGGGTATTGTGGAATTGATCAGTAATGTACCGGTCACTTATGGGGAATATTAAGTTGAATTAGACTTGAATTAATTTGATTCATGACAGAGCTTATGTTTCCATGCAGCACTTGTTACTGTAATTATCACATGTATGGCAGTATGCCTGTTTTCAGGTTTAGTCATAATCATAATTATCAGAAGCAGCAGATTAGCTTTGGTCTCTGAAGTGAGTCGTAAAAATAAAATAAAATTCGATATTGTGAATTCCATAATAATGCTAGTATATCAAAAAACATGCAATGTAAACCTCTGCATTGCAACCTCACAGAACTTTAAATCATTTCTTTTGCAGACACCTGATACTAATAATCAGTGGATACAACAAACTTTGGCATTAACGGCCTTATTGTTGACTGATGCTTGATTGTAGCATATTTTAGGACAAAATTACCTGTGAATGAAAAATGATTTTGTTGTTTGCAACCTGAGAGCCAAGAAACTAAAAATGTGTGTAAACTTGTTGTAGCACAGGCTGCTGCTCATTCAGGTGAAACTCCTCTCCTCTCTCACCTGCTCTGTGAGGAACAGTCAGAGATCAATATTGACTTTAATCAGACAAATGACTCAACCTCAAACACAGACACACACCTGATCTGAGCCTCAACATGAGACACACACACACACACACACACACACACACCAGGGGTAATCTCCCTGCATACCAGCCTGCAGACACACAGACACACAGAGGAAGGCCAGCAGACACTCAGGTACCGACAGACAGAAAGGGAATCACACAGACGGGCAGAGCAGAGGTCAAAAGGTCACGAGACAGATTTACAAGATGAAACCTGCCCTGGTCGGACAAAGAGACAAACACCAAAGATATATCCAGAGGAGATAACAGGGTCAGACCACCAGAGATGAAGAGTGTGTGTGTGTTGTTGTGGTTCCATGTAAAAAATAATAATAATAATAATAAATACCACAATAAAAAGACAACAATTAATTAGGCTTGGAAGAATATGATAATATATATAAATATGAATATATTTTAAGCCTTTTTCCATAGTAAATGAGGTCGTCAGCTGTTGCATCAGCGTCTGTGCAGCTGACTGCTGTGTTGCTGCGGAAGCAGCTGTCTCACCCTCAGGCAGGGGCAGCAAGGTGATGGCGGTGCTCAGGCGTCCACTACCCAGGCTGACCAGGTGGGGGCGCTCCGCCTGGAACTTCAGCCCCTTCCCACTCTCGATTAGGTCCAGCGGGGTGCTCTGCAGAAGAGGTCAAAGGTCATATACATATATACATATATCTAAACCATGACCTATAAATTAGATTTTAGTTTGAAAAGGATTATTTGCAACACGTTTGTCTTAATTTTTATCTAATTTAAATATTTGTGGAATGTGTGGTGTTTTATAATCACAGACGGGGATTTTTACTGTTATAAATGACTTTTTTGTATGTTTTCATTTGCATTTTAGAACCATTTAGTGTTGGAGTTTTACTTTAAAACAAACAGCAAATTGTATTATCTATTTTTAAAAAGCCATAAGTGTGATGAAATAAGCTGTAAGTGAAAATGTCAGTCACAGCTTTGCAGACGTTGCAACACACTGTGTGTAATGTGATAAAGTATCTACACCTCCGAACCTAAAGAGGTCACATCCTCCGTCTTCATCTGCGCCGCTACAGTGCGTCTGGACTATAAATGGCTCGCCATGAATGGGACCCAATAGACAATCATTTCCTGTCCATTAGCTGAACTAATTGGCTCAGCGTGACACAAAAAAAAAAAAAAAAGTGAATATGTAGCATCACAGAAGAGCCGCAGACGTGACATCAGCTCATCTTCTCTGCAGAGAGAGAGAGAGAGAGAGAGGTTCACCCTCCACTACAGGGGGAAGACAGAGTCTGACTGTCTCCAGCACGGGAGGCCATTTCCATCGCTGGCTGTTTACATATTCCTCTACACACTGAGGGAAGTGTGTGTGTGTCTTTGTGTGTGTGTGTGTGTGTGTGTGTATATGTGTGTCTTCTCCCCTCCCCTTCGCCTCGACCGTGTGCTGTCGGCTCAGTAAGGGGGAAGGGATGTCGCCATAGCAACTGCACTCTGCAATTAAGAAACATGAAGCTCCTGGAGGGGTGTTCAGCGAGCTAACTTGCGACGAGCACAGCGACGCCTGAACCCGGTCTTCTTATTGTTAAACTGCTCCCAACGCACATGTGGCAAATACATCTTTACTGCTGTGTTTTCCCTCCCGGAGTTTCACCTTCTGCTTTCACATAATAAAGCGAATGAGTTCTCCTGTTGGGTCACATCCATTATTCTTTAATGCACAAGACCGGGAACCTGAAGCTGAAGCAGAATTCAGTTTATCATTGATTTGATTGTGATTTTTTTCTCCTGTGGCATGTCAGAGTGTTGCAGCATCGGTTCCCAACCTTTACTTTTTTTTTGGTTTATGACGTTTTTAAATTGTCATAAACTACCTGAGTCTCTGAGCTGCAAGCAGACAGACGTTCCTGTGTCAGAATTTTCTTATTTGAATAGTTGTTCGAGGCCTGAACGTGTAAATCTATTTGCAATTTATAAAAAAAAGATTTTTTCCATATTGTCATCTGTGTAGCTGAATCCTGACCCCTCAGATTTATTCTGCGTCCCCTCAGGTGCCCCCGATCCCCAGGTTGGGAACCTCTCCGACTTACAGTTAATTTCCAACCTGCTTGATTGATTAATTGTACATCAGAAACAGGAATACATCATCGTCACAGGCCCCCGTCTTGATTAAGCGTCAGTAGATATCCAGAGTGCTGTGTTGTTAGGCTTTGATGATTCATTAAACAGACATTTGATTGTACTTGAGAAGCACTTGTTAAAAGCTCTTCAAGAGTTCATGAACTCTGGGCGTGGGGTCACTCACTGACGTTTTTTTTAAAACCAGCGGCATCTTTTTGTCCCATTTTTTGAGCCTTTACATTTTCTTATTTACAAACTGTACGCGATCATTGACTCAGCCTCTCTCTTTGCTGGCCGTGTGAGTCCTAATAGGATTATCTGATTGTCGGTGGAGTGGGGTCAACGCTAAGAGGATTGCTGAGATAGAGGCTGGCTGGGGAGCACTGGGAGGCTTACTGGGAGTGATGGGAGGAGAGGGGAGGAGAGGTGCCAGCGGGGCAACGCTGCAGGATTCAAACCGCCTCATCTGCTGTGTGCTGCTGCTCCCATGTGGTGCATCAACAGCTTCTCTCTCTCTCTCTCTCAGTCGTTACATACAGACTGTGCACGGTCATGTATAATGCATGGATCCAAATTTGCATGCATGGAAAACACAGTGTGTCTCCTACACATGAAAATTAAATGTATTTACTGACTTTCTGTGCATCTAATTTATTCATCATGAGGTTTGTGCATGTTTTACTTTTTCTGCCTTCTGCATTATTTCTTTATCTTATATCTTAAGTTATATATTTTCTATATTTCTTTTATTAATTTTTATTCATCAAGACAGATTTGAAACATAATCACAAACAGTCCATGACAAAGTTCCTTCCTCATCGTTTAAAAAGAAGAAAAGGCGGGAAAAATAAATTGCAAATAAGTTAAAATAAATATGAGAAACATATGAAACTTCTTGACGTCAGTGCTGGACAGAAGCCACGCCCCCACAGCAGGTTAACTTCCTGTCTTAAACTGAACCAAGCAATTTACAAAGAACTGGTGTTTATAACAAATGATTAATAACGAAGATTCAATTTGCAGAATAAAATATAACGTACAGAATTAGTTCTAATAAAAAGTTTTCCAATCAAACTCATAACAGAGATAAAGATAAAAACTGTACACAAAAGAACATCCCACGTTTCTGCTGTTTAAATATATTAAGATAATATAATAATCCCATGTAAAGCTGCTCTATTACTTGCCTTCACGCTGTATATACTTCGACAGTGTCGTCTAATTGTGGGGGGTTGAGTTTCTAACCATAATTTTCTTTGTAATTAACTTTGTTTTTCATTTTCAATCATACATTTCTACTTTCTTGTTTAACATGAACTTTTCTTTTCCTTTTGTCCCAGTTTCCCTGTGAGAATTATTAAAGTTTAATCTCAGCTTGTTTTATGTCTAACTGCCACACACACACACACACACACACACACACACACACACACACACACACACACACACACACACACACACACACACACACACACACACACACACACACACACACACAGCCCACCCCCTTAATGCCTGATAGGATTGTCTGACCCAGCGGGTGGGAAGCGAGACGTCCAATCTGCGGCTCTGTCTAATTACTGACTCTGTCTGAAGATTCCTGCTTTACAACACACACATGGACATACGCTGTCAGGACGCGTCGCGGCGCCGGCGGCGCTGCCTGACCCGACCTCCTGCCTCTTCACTCACTCGGCTCTGTGTCTCTGTGTTCATCGTCCACTCAGAGTTTTAGAGCCAAAAGTCTGTGAGAGCAGCCGACGTGGTGACATTTAACGTCAATGGATACAGTTATCAGAAGAAGAGAGCACTCACTGTGTGTGTGTGTGTGTGTGTGTGTGTGTGTGTGTGTGTGTGAATGGACACACACTGGAAACATGCAACAACACTGATGACATATGACAGGGTTTTTCTGTGAAGGCTGCCAAGTTGAGAACAATAAGGCCTCTGGCTCTTTCCCCTCTCTCTCTCTCTCTCTCTCTCTCTCTCAACCCTTTTCCATCCCCCACCTACCAAAAACACACACATACACATTAAACACACTCACCTGTAACACCTGGTGGGTTTGCCGTCCACACTCGGGCATGTTCCTGTTCAGACGGTCCATGTCCTCTGAGTTGTCCACGTCTCCCTGCGACACATGAAGATCCTGAGGGAGGGGGGAGACGACATCATCAAAATGAGTAACAAATTTCGTCATGGGTGACTTCACCTCCACAGGAAAATAATTATTATTAGTGTCAAAATCTTGTGTGTTTTGTGTTTTCATTGTCAGCGTCTGGTTACATCAGAATTAAGTCGAAAAGTTTTTAAAAATGTCACAAACTCAGTTTTTCCACAATAATTTAATAAAGTTGAACCATATTTAGTGGGAATCCCCCTCCACACTCAGCATAGACACTAATATGTTGAGGTGTGACTCATTAGTTTCATACTGTCAGCACGCACGCACACACACACACACACACACGCACACACACACACGCACACACACGCACAACAGATGGTATTTAGCAACACACTGAGGAAGTAACACACACACAAATGCATTTAAATCTCTTGGTAGTTGACACATTCCCTGGAAATCAGCCACCTTGGCTGCTCTCTTGCCTCTCAGTCACTATGAAAACACACACACACACACACACACACACACACACACGGTGCCCAAATCCCACAAATTCCTCCCTACTTACTAATTTTTTTGGGTATTTCCATCAACTCAGCACAGAACAAATGGCTATAAATACATCCCATGTCTATATTAGTGCATGTGTAAAGTGGATTCAGTATAAGGGAGAATATATGTGAGAAAACACTTCATCTTGCGGTTGTGAGGAAGCACAGAAAACCACACAGATAGGTAAAAAAACACAACACATAATTATATAGCAATCACAGAGAAGCAGAGTGTACCCGCAGTCATTTGCATGCCTAAAATGTTGTGCAGCGGGGACGGAAAATGTGGTTCTGATGAGCTTCACCCTCAGGATAACAAAACACTGCTGCAGTATCATCATGTTTGCTCTTCTGACAGACCCGTGAAATGATATTCAGCAGAGTCAGCCTGAAGCCAGCCTCTAACAGTAAATCACAAAACAGCCAGAAAATAAAAATAAATGTTGAAGAATTCCGTCTGCAAAACTCCTTAATGCAATAAGAAACTCTCAACTGAGCCAGGAGGGGAAAGAAACTGTTTCCCCTGCTCAGGTTTTCACAATTTCATCCAGTGGTTTTAAACGGCAACCTGCACGTTGTTGTCTCTGAATGTGAAAATTACCTTTCTCCAATTGTCCAGCAAATGCATCGCCTCCATGGCACAGAGCTGCTCCTGGGTCTCAATCCTATCAGGGTGAACTTGATTGAGCAGGACACCTCTAACGCTGCCTTCAATTCAACACAACACAACACAATTTCTCCAGTGCAGCTTCTTTCCACCAAACACAGATTGTCTCTTTGTCTTGATCTGCGTCTTTTTGTCTCAAGCCGTATCCTCTACAAACTCCCATTCAGGAGGTGGACCTGTTGCTGCTTGCTCCACTAAACTAAGACCTACATTCCTGACTGGCAGCACCTAAGTCCCAGATAACAGAGTATGTGTGTGTGTGTGTGTGTGTGTGTGTGTTTAAGGCGTGATCAAAAGCGAGAAGGAGAGGAAGAGAGGAAGAGAGGATGAGAGAGTGATGAGTGAAATGATTTGATAAAAAATAAAGTGATGAAGCAGGAAGAAGAAGCTCGGCTGTTATACACAATGCTAATGTCCCATGATGCTTGACTGAACAAGCCTCCATGAATAAACCATCAGCAGTATAATGTATACAGCAGGTCTTCACCAGTAGAAAGACGGGAGCAGGTGAACAGATAAAGAGCTAAGTGTTGCTTTACATCATCAATCAGATAATATTAGACAGTGTCCTATTGATGACACGGTTAAAACGCTGCCTGTGTGTCAGTGAGTCAGTGGCTCTGTGGCGCAACGGACAGCGCATTGGACTTCTAGATAAACACAGAAGAAGTGATTCAAAGGTTGTGGGTTCGAGTCCCACCAGAGTCGAGCTTTATACACTGGTGAGCATAAAAACGGTGGTGTTGTGTGTCCTCGGGCGAAATACTGAACCCTGACGTATCATCGGTGTGTGTGAAGGTGACTCGTAGTGTAAAGAGCTTTAATGTGCTTTATAAATGCAGCACATTAATAATAATATCTCGAACATAATGATGATGAGTCTAATTCTCTGAAAGGGGCCGTCCTAAGTTATGAGTACTTTAACTTTTGACACTTTGAGGGTATTTTGCTGATTATAAAATAGATTTTAAAAACAGAACTTTAACTTGTAATTCACTATTTTTACATTGTTCTATTGATACTTTTATTTACAGTGAGTAAAACATCTCAGTTCCTCTTCCACATCGAGCTTTACACATCAGTGAGCATAAAAACTGACCGAGTCACCTAATGCAACAAAGGCTGTGTCTCACATTCAGCCAGCTCGTGGACAGCTGTAGCTCAGGAGGCAGAGCAGCTGGTCCACTGATCGGAGGGTCGGCGGTTCGATCCCTGGATACGTCTCCCCCATGTATCGTCAATGTGTGTAATAGAAAAAAGTGATGACTAACTGGATGAATGTGGCTTGTAAAGTAAAGCACTTTCAGTGGTTGATAAGACTAGAAAAGCACAATATAAATGTAGATGATTTAATGTCAAAATCTATTCATCTCGATACGACAGCCTTCAGTTTTGTACAACTGCAAAATCACATTTCTCCTTTGCTAAACTCCTCACACAGAGAGACTGTGTGCTCCATGCAGCTCAGCACAGCAGTTACTCTCACATCCAGGACGCACTAATGCAACAAAAACACTGTCTCTTGATCCAAACTTGTGCCACAACACGGACGACATTTCCCTCCCAACAAGAAAACTTTGTCACTCATTACACCTAAATGACAGGTGACATTACAATATGGATCACTACTGTCTTTGACGCATCTGTTTTTCATTTACTGTATTTATTTGGCATGAACCGAGAATCCATTAGAACAGAAAGAAATCGGAGAAATGTGTCAGAAATACTGCAATAGGCTTAAACACAGTAATTCCAAGTGCACAAAATGAAACTAATCTATTCCCAGCAATGCAACAGCAACAATAGATATCCAGCACAGAATAGCTACAGACATCAGCAGCTCTAGTCGACCCTGTTTTTTGTGTTTGGCCACAAGTTCTCAACCACATCACAGTCTTTGTCCTCTCTTACAATTCCCTATGTCCAAAGAGGACATCTGATCATGTGGCTGGTGGAAAAATTTCCACCTCTGTGAGGAAAAGAATTCTTCTGTGGGTTTGAGGAATGGAGAGTAAGGTGGAAGGAAAAGTGAGAACATCCTGGGATGAACTGTAAACAAATCTGTAACTGGAAGAAAACAGTGAAACGCCACGTCTTCCCATACCATAAAAAAAAACAAACCTTCTGGATCCAGCCTCACTTATTTCCCTTTCCTCACCAGGTATAGTAATAACATAATTTCTAAGAGACAGTTGTGGTATACTCCCAACCTTTTAGCTTGTGACTCTTTAAAGTCTGACTAAGAGCTGTGAGCACTTAAGAGTAAAGAAGGACTTTTAACTTGACATGTTGTTTAATTTCAATCACTTGGAGGCCTGAAGAGATAAAACTATCCACAAGAAAGAAGAGATAAAAGTTTAAAACAAACAATTTTATGGAGCTTAAATATGCTTTTGTTCTTCTTAGCTATCTAATCTTGTGACGCCTTGAGGGCTTCTGACCCCCAGGTTGGGAACCGCTCTAGGAAATACTTACAGCAGCACTGCATGTTGGACTAACAATAAACTACAGCGCTCATGTTCAGGATAATGAAGGGACATGTGGCAAAGAGAAATAATATATGAGACTGTAGATACACACATAATACTAGGGGATCAGTTCATTCTTGGTTTTGGGTTTTTCATGGGATTTGTTGACAATAAGCAAAGTATAAAATATCTCCAGATTTTTCTAATAAGAACAACCAAACTTTGTAACCAGATACGGATATTAGCCAATAGAAGATTATTTGATGATGTAAATGTTTTAAATCCAGTATAATCTGATATCAAACTTAACTCAAGTTTAGTTAAACAGCTAGCAGTTAATCCAAACAGATAGCTACAGATTCTTTCAACCAAAAGACCCACATGAAGAAGCAAAAGTAGTAGAAGTAAAAGTGGTTAATATTATGAAACATAACAGTCTTGCTTTTGAAAATGAAATAACGTTAGCCAACTAGGTACTGTATCTTAGGTAATTAGCCTGGAACACAATGTAACCTCAGGCTATCTATGTGAGCTAGTTAGCCTAGCTGACCCTCTAACCTCAAACTAGCCACATTAGCCTACTCTAGCTATTTAAGTGAGCTAGTTAGCCTAGCGGACCCTCTAACTTCTAACTATCCGCAGCGTAATGTAACTATTTAAGTGAGCTAGTTAGTCTATAGCAGACCCTCTAACCTCAAACTAGTCACATTAGCCTAATGTAGCTATTTAAGTGAGCTAGTTAGCCTAGCGGACCCTCTAACCTAAAACTAGCCACGTTAGCATACTGTAGCTATTCAAGTGAGCTAGTTAGCCTAGCAGACCCTGGCTGAATGGTGAGCCTCTAACCTCAAACTAGCCACATTAGCATACTGTAGCTAAGCTAGTTAGCCTGTTTATTCTCAAGCTTCTGAAAATAAAAACGGTGAGGGAAGGATAAATAACTTCTTGGCTTTCACACTTTCTCTTTATATTTTGGTAAGAATTCTTTGCTGTTGAATTCAATTTTCTCAAACTTTTTGTGCTCCTTAGAGTATGTGTGTTTGTTCTCACCACATCAAAGCCCAGTGCTGTCAGTCTGTGGGGGGACATCAGCTTTTCTTTCTCTCAGATCCACAAACTCTCACTGGGCACACAAAGACCTCTCAATCTCCATTTCTTTCTTTCTTTCTTTCTTTCTTTCTTTCTTTCTTTCCCTCCCTCTCCTCCTCTCATGCCAGGGCAGAAAGGCTGGCATTGTTTTCTGTTGAGCAGGCATGGATCTCTTCTCACACATGAGGGAATCTTTTTTTTTTTTTTTTGATGGGGTTATGAAAGCGAGGGCGGCTCACCATTTAGCTGGAATGCAAAATGTAGAGGGGAGGGAAGTGGGACAGTCTGCCAACTACATGGAGGATAAAAATGTAAGATGGGCTGACGATAGAGAGATGATAGAAAGAGAAAAAGAAGGTGCAGCTACAGACAGGTTTTGCTTTGAAAGTCTGATCTTATTCCGTGGACAAATCAGAAGAATTTAATATCTTATAATTTATCTCTTTTTAATCCATTTAGGAAATGTTCTGTTAGATCTGAAAATCTACTATGTGATGATTTACTGTGCATTGATATTGCAATGCAAAATGACCAAAAAATGGGACTAAGCTGTAAAGTAAAGTTTGTCCTATTAGCATTTATGTTTCCACCCACTTGTTTTTATGTGTATTTTCAATTTGCACATAAAAAAAAAAAAAAAAACCCTGAATGTAAACACTGGAAATTTGAAATATTATATGGTCACATTACGGTTCAAAACGTACCTAAGACCAATAGCTTTTCTCTCTGAAAGGTCAAACTGTCACGGTTTGAAATTTAGGAACAAGTTGTGTTTAATGGAAGTTAACTAACAACTAACCATCACAGGATTGATCACGTGTTCAAAGATCTACAACATGATCAATCAATCAATCTGGCCTGAGAAAAGAAGCTGGCCTCCAACATGGCCGCAAGAGGATGGAGCCCGTCGCCTCAAACATCTAAACAGGAGCATGAATGACTGTAAGACAACTGAGAGGCCATGAAGAAGGAAGCAAAGGGCAGAGGAGAGATAGGAGGATGATGAAGGCAGGGTGATGAAGGAGGAATACGAGGACAGTAGAAGTTCTCTCTTGTTTCTATCTTGTCCAGCCAGCTGCCACCACACAGCTCCGCTCTCGTCTCCAGAGCTCTGATAATGAAGCCTGCTGGATAATCCTGCTACTGCAGGGACATCCATCTTTCTATCCCTCTACATTTCTCTCACTCTTCATGCCTTCGCTCCATCTTTCATTCTCTCTGACCTCGATGTTTCTTTTCACAGATACACACCCAGAAACTTTGGCGTCTTGACACTTTCTCAGTCCAGATCAAACTGAAACTGCACAACAAGTTATGAAGCAACATTACAAACAGAGGTAAATTGTAAATTGTAGCTAGGTATCAATAGTTTGCATGTGAGGCGTTCAGGGGACATCTGCAAATTGTAGTGTCTACCAATTGTCAACATGTGAGGCCTTTAGCAGACATCTATAAATTGTAGTGTCTTCCAGTAGTCTGCATGTGAGGTGTTTATGGGACATCTGTACATTTTAGCGCCTGCCAATATCTTAGTCTTACCCCGTAAAGTGCCTTGAGATAATGTATGTTATGATTAGGAGCTATACAAAGAAAATTGAATTGAATTGAATAGTCTGCATGTGACGCATTTAGAGGACATCTGTAAATTGTAGCGTCTGCCCATAGTCTGCATGTGGGGGTGTTCTTCAATGGGCTTCTTTGCCTGGGGCCCCTTACAGGATCGTCACTTATTATAAAGGACGAGTTTGCATGCACACTGTATGCAGCTCTGTTTTTAGAGGTTGATGTATGCTGCAATTCAGGTAAACATACTTATGAAAATTGCCACTTGGAGAGAAGTTTCAGGTTTCTTTAGTGGCATCACAGAGCCTTCCATTCAGGAAAGTGACTAAGAGTCTAAGAGATAAATTCTTGCTATTTCAGGGACTCTTGTATCTTTACGCTGCTCTGTTACTTAGTCTTTCTCTGCTGGATTTGGCCAAAGCCAAATGACACATTCTGCTTTTAGAGAGAAACCACAGAAATGCAGCAAACTTGCGCCGTGGGAAGAAGGGCGGATTCCACTACAGGTTCATTTTCAGACAAGAGTAGTAGTCCAAACCATATGCTGTACGTATATAAATCTGCAAATCCTAAGAGGTAAATTGTCTAAAACGTTGCTCTTGATAACACAAGATATCAGAGGTAAGTGCTTCTTTCAGCTGTATTTACACTCAGCTGAGAGCTGTAAACTAAAGGGAAGAGATGAGGTAAATGATTTGAATACAACATCATAACAACAACGACAAGATAGTTAAAACAATTCAAAACCTAACATAAATTATACAAGTCAGCTTTTATGGAACGCACATTCAGCTCAGGGTGGATTTATGGGAGTGAGGAGGAGGCAGAATCCTTCACACACACACAACACGACATATATGAAACCGCAGTCTGACAACACCCAGCAGACAGCCTGCATCTGCTCGGCTCTACAACACCCACAGACCCTCGTGGTTTGGTCATATTAACAAAACTAAAACCTCTCCCACCCAGTGCATGGTATTTATTCATTTTACAAAGATTGCCATGTATGGATAGAGAGAGTAAAGCACTTCAGGTCTGTAACAACCGTCACCGTCTTCAAATGAATACATGAAACAAACACAGATGCCATGTTTCTATCACGTTCTCC